TTTGAAACAGAGATGAGCACCGCCCCCTAGGGTCGGGAATGACTCGCACGCATGTGCAAGGAGGGACCTTTAACTTTACCTAAATGAAGACGAAGCAAAGCTACACTCATAACGAAGAACATGAGCTTCAACCATGAGTCCATCGCACACTGGTGTGTCTTGTTTGTGTTGCCCAAACCAGAATTTTGCTCTTTGGGGGGACCAAGGGGTCTTTAGAGTAGATTCCAAATGCAGACCCAACCTAAAACGATGGAAAAGAGGAAGACGCTTCAAGCATCCTGATTTTAATTCGAGGAATGTGGTTTCAAGGTGATGCCACTGGTCCTTGCCATCCCTCAAGTATCATTTGTAGATTCTGTCCAATTCTTGCTCCTTGGGCCCATAGTATGTAATTTAATCAAAACCATCAAGAAGGGGGGTGGGGAGAGAGAAAAAATCAGTACAGGTCATCCTCACTTTACAAAAATCCAGGAGGTTACAACGGCCTCGGAAAAAAGTGGCTTACGACCGTTTCCCCCCACACTTATGACCATTTGAGCATCCCCACGTTCACCTGATTAAAATCAGAGTTGGAAGAGACCTTGGAGGTCTTCTAGTCCAACCCCTGGCGCTTGGCAACTGACTCATATTCACGAGGGTTGCAGCATCCCGCCAGCACGTGGTCTCCTTTTGAGGCCTTCTGACCAGCAAAATCAGCTGCTAAACCAGGTTCACTTCACAACCCTGTAACTTACTTCACAACGACAGTGATCTGCTTAACAACCGTGGCAAGGAAGGTTGTAAAATGGGCAAAGACCACTTCGCAACTGCCTTGCGTAGCTGTGGAAATGTTGGGCTGAACCGTGATCATAAGTTGAGGACTACATATATCTCAAATGTCCCCACCAGGCCTTCCCGAGATCTCCTTAGGAGAGGCCTCCTCTGGTTGTTTGGTTTCCTCCATGACGGGGTCTCCAACCTCAGCAACTTCAAGACTTGTGGACTTCAACTCCCAGAATTCCTCAGCCAGTTCTGCTTTGCTGGCTGAGGAATTCTGGGAGGTTTGCTGGCTGAGGAATTCTGGGAATTGAAGTCCACAAGTCTTAAAAGAGTTGCCAAGGTTGGAGACCCCTGCTCCATAAGATGTCCCACCAGAAACCATTTTTTCAGCTTCTTATTTGGCTCTCACAAACCTGAGCTGCTCAGATTTCAGCTCCTTGGCCTCCTCAGCCCTCAAACAGTTGGTTTCCTCCTGGTACGCTTAATGCCAGCACCTGTTAGCAAGTCCTCCATTTGTAACCCATTGAGAATGTTTTGTGCGAAGGCCCCCTGCCAGGGAGAAGGATCAGCTTTTAATCCCACCTGGCATTCGAACCCCGAAATAAGCAAAACAAATACACAAGGGGGCGGGTAGGAAAGAAATAAGGGGGTACATTTAGTTTTCCCTGCATTCTTGGCTAAATGCCGGCTAAAACCCTGTTTGCCTTTCCAGATCCGTTTACAAGGTCAAGCACCTTCAGCGGCCTTGGAAACTTAAGCAGCAATGCCTTTGGCGGATTAGGCAGCCACACTTTGAGTAAGTACTCAGTGGGTTCCTGCAGACTAGCTTCTTTCCCATAAGACCCCCTGTTCCTATCGAAAGCAACCGGTGGCCGTTGGTTTGAAGCAAGGCAAGCTTCTTAAAACATCCCCCAAGCAAAGGAAGGAGGCTACAAATATGCCGAGTTTTCCCATAGAGGACTTTCCGTAATTGATGTCCACCAGGTCCACCAAGAATGGTGACTTCAGCTCACTTTCCACAGAAGAGGGAGTGGGAGCCCAACAAGATACCTCCCTTCTCTTTGACCATCCTTTTGGGGTGTGGGTTATCTCAAGTCCAAAGTTTGAGGTTCTTCAGGATCTACCATCTTACTGGAAGAACTGGGAGAAGGTATCAGGAAGATCTCAAAGGGGCTTTTCCCAAAAGGCAACTGGATATTCTGGGGGGGGGTTCCCCCCTTTGAAAATGTTTCATTTCTCATCCAGGAAGCTTCTTCAGTTTGTGAACTGAATCAGGTTCTCATCCAAGAACTGAAGAAGCTCCTTGGATGAGCAGCGAAAGGTCTTCAAAGACAAACCAGGAGGAAGTCTTGAGAAAAAAAGTACCTTTGGGACAACCATTGACCTGGAAGATTGAGAATTTCCATAGGCACATCAGGGAGATGCCTGTAGCGCCCCTGGAGTGGCATCACTGTTGAGGGCAAGAGAGCATAAGACATTGGCTTGGGTACAGGGTTTACAGCACACTGTCTGCTTCCAGTCTTCCTGTCCAATCTGGTCCAGTAGGATGGACATGTTTCCTCTCCCATCAGCCAAGGATGTTGGCTGATGGGCACTAGGAAGTTTGTCTCTTCTGCCATAGACTGTGGGTGGCAGTCTAGAGATTAGGATGGCGCCAACCCTGTTGGCCTTTGGGAAGGTTTTTGAAGATCTGTTTTATGTGCCCAGGCCTGGAGTCCCAAATACATGAATGTTCCCATTACCCAGGGAAGCTGATACCAATAATTTGTAAGATTTCTTGCCTGCTGTTTGAATTTAATTTCTTTGTGTATCATGTTCTCATTGTTTTTATTAATGCTTGCTGCCTGGAGTCATTGGTTTGAGATGGGCGGCTATACAAATTAAATGGATGAATGATAGCTGAATAACAGAGTTAGAAATAACCTTGGAGGTCTTCTAATCCAACCCCTTGCTCAAGCAGGAGACACTATAGCAGGAGACACTATGCTGGACAAATGGCTGTCCAATCTCTTCTCAACAATCTCAGAATCAGAATAGGGCTGGAAGGGACCTTGGAGGTCTTCTAGTCCAACCCCCTGCTCAAGCAGAAGATCCTATGCCATTTTAGACAAGTGACTGCCAAGTCTCTTCTTTAAAATCTCCAGTGATGGAGCACCCACAACTTCTGAAGGGAAGCCATTTTACTGGTTAATTGTTCTCATCATGAAATTTCTCCTTAATTCTAGGTTACTTCTCTCCTTCATTAGATGATCTCCTATCATCTCCAGTGATGATAGGTAGGTAGGTAGGTAGGTAGGTAGGTAGGTAGGTAGGTAGGTAGGTAGGTAGGTAG